GAAAAAAGTGGTGTGATAATACAGATTATGGGCATGGAAATGACGTGGTCTAGTGATTACGATTATAAAGAACACCATGGTGAGAAATAAGCAGCATAAAAAAAGACATAAACCTGAGTGCGCTGCATCATATATTTAACCACTTGCCAACCGCGCTATAGCTGTATGACGGTTACAGAGTGGTTGTCCAGTTCTGGGAGGGTGTCATATGTTGTCCCCCCAGAATGCGTCATTCCGTGCACCCCCGGGGGGCACGCACCTGGCAATCTCCATGAACGCGGCGTCCTGAGGACAGAGCTGATCACGTGATGTGGTAAAAGGCCAATAACAGCGGCCTTTTACCATGTGATCAGCTGTGTCCAATGACACAGCAGATCACCGGTAAATGCAGTTGCCAGTTATCGGCTGCACTTTCCTCACGCTGTGAAAGTACTGCCGATAACTGGCAATTGTCAGAGGACTGATCGGCACCGATCATCAGGGCACTGATGATCAGTGACCAGCAGTGCTACCCACCTGTGCTGCCCACCTGTGTCCAGCAGTGCCGTCCACCAGTGCCCATCAGTGCCACCCACCTGTGCCCATCAGTGCCTAGTAGTGCCACCCACCTGTGCCCAGCAGTTCCACCCACCAGTGCCCCCCATCAGTGCCGTCAGTCAGTGCTACCTATCAGTGCCCATCCGTGTTGCATATCAGTGCAGCATCATCAGTGCTGCCTCATCAGGGCCAGCTCATCAGTGCCCCCTAGCACTGCTGTCTATCAGTGCCGCCTATCCGTGCCACCTATCCGTGCCGCCTCATCAGTGCACATCAGTGAAGGAGAAAAATTACCTGTTTGCAAAATGTTATAGTAGAAATAAAGAAAAACGTTTTTTTTTTTCCAATTTACTGCTCTTTTTTTGTTTATAGCGCACACCCAATGGTGATTAAATGCCACCAAAAGAAAGCTCTATTTGTGTAAAAAACATTATAAAAATTTCATATGGGTACAGTGTTGCATGACCGTGCAATTGTCCTTCAAAGTGCGACAGCGCTGAAAGCTGAAAATTGGCCTGGGCAAGAAGGGGGTATAAGTGCCCGGCAGGCAAATGGTTAAATAATGGTCAAACTGTAAGGCTAAGTTCACACTAGCTGTGTAAGCAGAAGTTTTTCAGGCATTTGAGGGGCGTTTTTAACTACAATTAAACACTATAATAACTAAATTATACGCTTGGCAGCACACAGTGCTGTTCACACTGCAGCGTTAGTGTCGCGGCAAAATTGACGCTTCATGTCCAGTCAGGAGGAGTTGAAGTCTTCCAACATCTCCAATTCAAGTCTATGGTGACGCTCCTCAAATGACTGGCAGGCGTTTGCGGGGCGTTTGTGAGGTGTTAATACTAACTTCATTACAGCATTTTGTGGTGTGACTTTAACGCTTGGAAAATGCCTATGCAACGCCTCAAAAACGCTCCCCAAACGCCTGACTAATGCTATAGGGATGTTTGGGAAGAAGTCAAGTGTGAGTGAGCCCCTAAAGGTGATACAGGGCTATGTTGAATCTAGTTGAACAGGGAGAGTAATAAATACGTTTCTGAGGTTCAGCAGAAAATAATGGAATAGTCTTTATGTACCAAGGTTTACTACACATATATGGAGTAGTCCACACATAACTGAGATGAAGCAGAATAGTATGGAGTAGCCCAAATATATCATGCATGTAGTAGAAAGAAAGATAGTGGTGCAGATATAATATCATTTTCTACGCCCAACCAAAAATGTGTATTACCGCCAAACAGGTCCTATACCACTATCAGTAGTTTATGTAAACGTCAACATTATCTGACAATGGTATAATCTATATAAGCAGCTTTATTTAATTCATTTAAAATAATTAAAACCATATTAAAATACATATTGCCATGCCAGAGGTGGGCCCATTTCCACTGCAATATACCATCATGTCTACCACAATTGTATATATCAACTGTTCAGTTTAAATGAGCTAAATACATTCCTGGTGCTTCAAAAAAAAAAGTGCATTCTGATAGTTTGTTCTCACTCTAAAGCAGCCACAGCCCAAGCAGAAACCCCCCTGCCAGCAACTGCAGTGCGGGACTCTTGCTTTCTGTGGGGAAGCAGTGATCTCACCGCAGAAGTCCGACACACCCCGTACTGAGTCAGACCTATCAGCTTTGTAGCCAGCATAGTTCATGCACCCTTCTGATTGGACTCTGACTCAGCAAGGGGCAAGTTGTACCTCTACAATTAGACCAGTGCTTCCCCACCGAGAGCAGAGGGTCTCAATGTCCAGCTGCTGGTAGGGAACAGGCTTTCTTACTGAGGCTGGGGCTGCTTTAGAATGAACATGAACTGTGAGAGCTCCTTCACATTGAATGGGATGATCTCCATTTATCTGCACCGGATGAGCGAAGGTCACCGCTAGGAAGCATAGAAAACAATTTTTTCAACGTGCCCCGTGATGGTCAGATGTGCGGAATGTCGCAGTATTTTTACATTTTCAGGCGGCTGGCTTCTGGGTATCGATCGGACAGCCTCTTTCATTGGCCAGGCCAAGATGACATCAATCCTGTGCATTGTTGAATTTGTACAATGAGCTGTGTGTGCGCAGCTCGCTGTACTGGGGTGGACAGGCAAATAAGTAACTGTAATGCAGAAGAGACAAAGCATGTCTCTCCTGCATTATAGATCCTGCCTGTTTGCCGATCTTTAATATTTGCCATAAAGTTCCACTTTAACCACTTGCCTACCGGGCACTTATACCCCCTTTGTGCCCAGGCCAATTTTCAGCTTTCAGCGCGGTCGCACTTTGAATGACAATTGCACGGTCATGCAACACTATGTGAAAAAATTATCAAAATGTCATATGGGTACAAATAGAGCTATCTTTTGGTGGTATTTGCTCGCCGCTGCGGGTTTTATCTTTTGCGCTATAAAACAAAAAAAGAGCAAAAATGTTTTTCTTTGTTTCTATTATATAATTTTGCAAACAGGAAATTTTTCTCCTTCACTGACGTGCGTTGATGAGGCTGCACTGATAGGCAGCGCTGATGGGCATTGATAGGCAGCACTGATAGGTGGCACTGATATGCAACAATGATGGGCACTGATAGGCACTGACTGGCGGCACTGCTGAGCACTGACTGGGCACAGGTAGGTGGCACTGCTGGGCACAGGTGGGCAGCACTGCTGGGCACTGATCATCAGGGCACTGATGATAGGTGCCAATCCGTCCTCTGACAATTGCCGGTTATCGGCAGTACTTTCCTCATGCTGTGACAGCATGAGAAAAGTGCAGCCGATAACCGGCAACTGCAATACCGGTGATCTGCTGTGTCACTGGCCACGGCTAATCACATTGTAAAAGGCCGCTGTGATTGGCCTTTTACGACATCACGTGAGCAGCTGTGTCCGTAGGACACAGCGATCACAGAGATCCGCGGGGGCACGCGGGAGGAGGGCGCGTTCTGGGAGGACATCATCATACAGAGCCAAAAAGTATTAAAATTGTGCCTGCATCCAAATATATATGGACCTAGCTGTATAATTGGGATGTAATGTAGTCCATACATTGCTGTGTACAATATATTAGAGTCAGGGCTTTTTTCTCAGGAAAGAGGTTCAACCACAACCCCACAACCCCCCCCCCCCCCCCCCACCCACACACACCCTGCAAACCACATCAAATAGTGGGTGTGGTCACATTTCACTAGCAGGATGGTCTTAAAAGAGCATTAAATACTAGGAGTGTATTACTTACAAAATGCAGAGTTCAGGGGTGCTCTACATACAGAGTGCAGAGTTCAGGGGTGCTCTACATACACAGTGCAGAGTTCAGGGGTGCTCTACATACAGAGTGCAGAGTTCGGGGGTGCGCTGCATACACAGTGCAGAGTTCAGGGGGTGCACTACATAGCAGTGCAGAGTTCACACTATAAACAGTGCAGAGTTCAGGGGTGCACTACATAAACAGTGCAGAGTTCAGGGGTGCTCTACATATACAGTGCAGAGTTCAGGGGTGCTCTACATACACAGTGCAGAGTTCAGGGGTGCACTACATAAACAGTGCAGAGTTCAGGGGTGCACTACATAAACAGTGCAGAGTTCAGGGGTGCTCTACATACACAGTGCAGAGTTCAGGGGTGCACTACATAAACAGTGCAGAGTTCAGGGGTGCTCTACATACACAGTGCAGAGTTCAGGGGTGCTCTACATACAGAGTGCAGAGTTCGGGGGTGCGCTACATATACAGTGCAGAGTTCAGGGGTGCTCTACATATACAGTGCAGAGTTCAGGGGTGCTCTACATATACAGTGCAGAGTTCAGGGGTGCTCTACATATACAGTGCAGAGTTCAGGGGTGCTCTACATACACAGTGCAGAGTTCAGGGGTGCTCTACATACAGAGTGCAGAGTTCGGGGGGGTGCTCTACATACAGAGTGCAGAGTTCGGGGGTGCGCTACATACTGAGTGCAGAGTTTAGCCTTCTTCCACAGCTGCTTACCTCTGCATCCCAACACCATCTAGCCCTTTCCTCACCAGCCTGACTGTTCTCATCCCACCTCTTTCAATCATTGGACTTCAATTCGTTCAATCATGAAGGCTCAGATTATCATTTTTGGGGTGATCTGCGTGCAAATAAAACCTGCCTATGAACACCCACTCCTCCACCTATCAAGGCATTTTGATAACCGCATAACTTTTTCAAAGAGCCAGCCCACTGCTTACATCAGGGTTGAGGGCTCTTAGCAGCAGTACAGCGTGCACGGTGCTGTCATGGTTACAGAAAGCTATGTACAGCACCCTGGCAGCCTCTCCCTCCAGCCATGATCTGCCTGCATTGCACAGAGAAGTGCAGAGACCTTGTGATTACTTCACTGTGTCTAAAACAAGGGCATGTAATGAAAAGTATTTCATTAATAATGTAATTAGTATGTTGATGAGCGGAAATGGGGACCAGGACAGGCAAAAGTTAAGCAGAATAAAAACGTTATAGTTACCTGAATATGGTGGCCTTCTGGGAGCACAACATACTCCTGGGGAATCAGATGAGGAACACCTTCCTGTGATATAATATACTGCACCTAGGGGAGAGAAAGTGGTAGTTATTGGAGAGCTCCAAAGTCTTTACTCACACTACATAATACATGAGCTGAAAGATATTTCACAGAGTAAGGGTTTTAATACAAGATTGTGCGAGATATAGAATTCAGTCAAAGAAAAGAAGAAATCCTTTTTCCCAATGCAAGCCATTTTGACTGCCAAGAACCCCAATCCCATGCAGGTACTGTAGGGGTACAACTTTCAACACCGATAATAAGGTTAAAATAGGGGTTGCCCCATGTCCCTGGCCTATAATATATTCCTTTATCAGACCCTAACAGTTTACTCTCCCTCCACTTAGGTCCTGGAAATTGACCTAACCTTTTAAATTAACTCTTATCCTTACTCCAACACCTAAAGTGTTACTAAACCCACAACAGTAAAATCAGTATGTATATGTAGTAAAGCATGCTTCCTATACTCACTGTGGAACCTAAGGGGTTCATTCTCTGCATTGTGTAAAAAGGCGATTTGATCCTAACTTCTTGATCCTCCCCTTCTCCCAGTGTCCCCCTCTTATCTCCTCATAAGACATATCATGTGGAAAAATACTGCACATGCTCAGTATGGTGTGTATTGCTAGAGCGGTTTCCTCTTTTTTCTTGGGAGAGTGCATGTGATCAGCACATGGCCAATCAGCACTGTCCAGACAGAGGTCAGGATTTCTGCATCCTCCTAGAGCAGAATGAAAACTCCTCCTAGAAGCTTCAACCATTGCTCTGCTGAACACTGATAGAAGTCCCAAGACTTCTTTAACTGCTGATGAGAAAAGGTATTTAACAGTTTATATTTACTAAAAATTAATTCCCATGTAGTGTGTACTGTGAGAGAGCAGATATAGTGAATGCAGGGTCCTGGGTTTAGTAACACTATAACTCCACTTGAACCGTAAAATAAGTTTAATTTGAACCCTAATACCTTCTACTACATGAAAAAGTTTTCAAAATTCTAACTCTAAGAATAAAGGAAGAATGCATGGAAGAAAAAAAAAAAACTAAAGCAGCTTCCTCAAACAAATTCCACTGGGACTGAATGTGAGGAAATAGAAGTACACCTCTCAGCTAGCTTTTATTTTAGAAAATGCCATTTTGTAGAGCACCATACTAGATATTTCACATTACTTCTGTTGCATATAAATAACTGGTAATGGGTAATGCATAAACTGGAATCAGGACAATACCTGGCTGTCTGCTGTGACCAACTGCTGAAGAGTCTGTCCATCGGCAGTTGTAATTTCCTGAATATAAGCTGTGTCTTCCTAGAAGGAAGAAGATCCAGAAATTGGTGTAAGGATGTACATAGAGTGATACAGCTTTGGCCTAGGACATGATTGGTTAAAACACTATTTATAAAAGAACATGTGGTTTAAGAGATAGCCATGAGAAATGAAAGCCTAACTCCAGCCAAAATTGTTTTTCTTAGCTTTGGATAGAGTAGGGAAGGGTGAACTCCTCTCTCAGAGCTCTGAAGAAGGGGGTAAATCCCCCGAAAAACGTTAGACTTCCCACTGGCCAGACACCGTCTCCTCACGGCTGGAACTGACATTTGGATACGCTTGGTTCCTATCATATTTGTAAGTATTCATTTGTATTTTGGAACTAATAAAATTTTATGGTGGTAACGCACTAGGCATTTGCTCCTTCCTGTTTGTCTTTTGTAGTTTTTTTACTCTTTGTGATTTTCTCTCAATTTCTATCCCTATGACACCTATGCAAGAAATGGGGGATATGGTTATGACCAGAAGAAGGCATAAACAGCAATACCATTGTTGGATGTTCAAAACCTTACTTGTTTTAATGAAAATCCTGACCATAAATTCGATTACATTTCCCCAATAGTGGACAAAGCTGGCAAAAAAACCTGATAGAGAAATGAGATGTTGGAGGGCTGGACTGCGGTATAGATGCTTTCAATTTGCAGCCCTTTAGTGTTCAGGGGCTATAATGAGAGCACCAAGCCATTTTTTGCAGTCCAGATAAAATGTAATGGTCAAAGTGTGCACATCCAACATGTTTCTGGAATTCCAAGGGGCCCCCTTCATCAGGGCTTAAAAATTTTCAACTGAAGAAAGTCCAGACAGAGGACTGGACTCCTGAATGGATTATACAGCCTACTCCAGTCGCTGGTTTAGCAGTGTTGGAACCTCCAAAGCATGTTAGCCATTTTATGTGCACATCCTGCCCAATAACATCTTGGCATTCTCTTTTCTACAAACCCTGAGGCAATAAAAATGTGACCCTCTCTCTGGAATTGTCCTTTAACTACTTCAAGTTTGGACACTTTCACCCCCTTCCCGTCCAGGCCAATTTTCAGCTTTCTGTGCAATCACACTTTGAAAGACAGTTGCGCAGTCATGCAACACTGTACCCATATGAATTTTTTAGCATTTTTTGAGACAGATAAAACTTTATTTTTGTGGTATTTATTCATCACTGGGATTTTTACTTTTTATATAAATGAAAAAGTCCAAACATTTTGAAAAAAAAGTGTTTTTCTTATAAAATAATCTTTCTTCATACATCTTGGCCAAAAAGGTATTCAGCTATATTTTTAGTAAATAAAAATAACCCAAATTAGTTTATAGCCAAAAATTATATATTTTTTTTTAAAAAAATGTTTTTACATTTCTATTTTTTTTTTATATTATTATTTATGTTTTTGGGGTTTTTTTTTTACATACTGTCACCCTAGCAGTACAGTGTCACTCTACTAGGGAGGTGATGAAGATTTTTTTTTTTTTTTTACACTGATTGCGTTTACACCCATAAAGGCTGTAAAAGCAATAATTTCTCCTTCTCTCTGGCTGCATTCTTGCAGCCATTGAGAAATACTGTGAGAGCTGTGATTGGTCACAGCTTGTCAAATGGTACAAGGCTGTTGTGAATAGCCTTGTACCATGTGATCCCTGTGATCATTCACAGATTTCACACGTAGTAAGCAATGATGTCAGAAGTGACATCTTGCTTACTACTCTTCATGTGATCACTGGTTGGCTAATAAGTGATCACATGATCGGGACCTCACACAGAGGTCCTGTACAAAGATCAGACACAGCGGGCACCGGATCACGGTGCTGCAAGCTTCCAGGGAGCGCACACAAGCAGGGAAGTGGGGAAGATGTCCCATGTATATAAACGGCTGGACGGGAGCAGTGCAGGGGCGGTTGGCCGTTTATATACATGGGCTGGACAGGAAGTGGTTAAGGAAAAGATCATCTGTGAACTTGAACTGTTTTGACTGACAGTAAGTTCAATTAACAAAGACATTCTCTCAAAATAACAAGTATGAATGCTAGTATAAATGCCCAGTTGAAACATTACTTTCTTCACTTGTTTCTCAAATAGGATTTAGACAAACACACACAGAAAATAGTAAACATTATTTCTATGCTTACCTGACTGCTCATGGTTTCCTCCTGGGTTAGGAATATAATGTGCTCTTCATCTACGACCGAGGTAGATGTATGCTCTGCAAGGACACTTACAATAAGTCTCATTCTGTTTTCCTGTACATCTATCCACACATATGTACTTTATATACTGCTTACCTGCTTTTTCGGGCTGCTCCAAGCTGGCTCCCGTGTGCAGCCTCTGTATGTGGAATTTTAAGTGACCCTTTCTAGAAAACCTGAGAGGAAGACAAATGAAAGACTTTTAATGGAAATGTGTAACTGGAAGCCATGCAAAGTTATTACAAATCTCCATATTTACAGTCTATCCTAACCCTGCTGTAAACATAATACAACTTTAGGAGTCTAAAGATAAAATGCTGCTTGCAGTGAGAATTTGCAACTGTTTGTGTTCCTAGTTCTCAGACCCACGGTCAATTGAAAAAAAAAAATTAGTCATAGAGACATTGTTAAATTAACTTCTTGCTGACCCCATAATGTACATATGTGGCGGCAAGAAAGATGGACTTTAATGCCCAGCCGCCGCACATATGAATTCATGGCAACATGAGATTGTGTGTGAAGACTGTGCTCACTATATCTTTTAGATTGTAAGCTCCAAGGAGCAGGGCCCTCCTAACCCTCTTGTATTGAACTGTATTGTTGCTGTATTGTCTCCCGTTATATTGTAAAGTACTGAGCAAACTGTTGGCGCTATATAAATCCTGTATAATAATAATATACGTTCCCAACACACTGACCAAGCTGTTGGTCAAGGCTTCTAATCAGGAGCAATGATGTGATCACTGTAAGAGTCACTTGCAGCAGTCAGAAGCCGATAATTCGTTTTCCTCCTTAATTCCCTGAGTCTCAGAGAGATTTTTCATTTCAGAGATGTCACGGTTCTGCACAATATGTCTTTTAGCGTTTGTAGCTTACTCCAACGTTGTACAGTACATGTCATTTTTTTCGAAACATAATACACGGTGCTCCTTAATGGCCCCTAAAGGACCTCCAAAACCAAAACTCACCCCCATGCATCACCAGTTTAAACATACAGAAATAGTAAACCTGTAAGGAAGATATATATATATATATATATATATATATACATATATATACATACTGTCCAACTCTGGCTGGCTGACACTTGTGGGGTAAGTGTTTTATGTTTATCTGATTTGCCTTATAGTACATGCTACAGGTTCATTGCTATATAAATCCTGTATAATAATAATATACGTTCCCAACACACTGACCAAGCTGTTGGTCAAGGCTTCTAATCAGGAGCAATGATGTGATCACTGTAAGAGTCACTTGCAGCAGTCAGAAGCCGATAATTCGTTTTCCTCCTTAATTCCCTGAGTCTCAGAGAGATTTTTCATTTCAGAGATGTCACGGTTCTGCACAATATGTCTTTTAGCGTTTGTAGCTTACTCCAACGTTGTACAGTACATGTCATTTTTTTCGAAACATAATACACGGTGCTCCTTAATGGCCCCTAAAGGACCTCCAAAACCAAAACTCACCCCCATGCATCACCAGTTTAAACATACAGAAATAGTAAACCTGTAAGGAAGATATATATATATATATATACATATATATACATACTGTCCAACTCTGGCTGGCTGACACTTGTGGGGTAAGTGTTTTATGTTTATCTGATTTGCCTTATAGTACATGCTACAGGTTCATTGCTGGCTGATTGATATTTTTAGTCCCCCTGGTAGGGTTTTATAAATATTTGATCTGCCTTATAATCATGTTACTTGTTCACTGCCAGCTGACTGATACCTGTAATCATCCTTGAGGGGTAATTGCTTGATGTTTTATGTTTACATATCTGATTCTGATCTAGAGCTCCCATGTAGCTGTGCAGCAACATATCACGTCTAATAGTGTTCTACTGCTGGCTGCAATCAGCCAACAACAGATCACTATAACAGTGATCTTATCTTGCAAGGAGACATTGGACAGAGTTGCAACAGCTTTGCGCCATCCTATGTACTAAGAGAAAGTGCCGTGACAACACTACACACTGTATAGCAAGTTCTGAAGCCTGGGAGCCAATTGTTTCAGCTTCTGAGCCTAGTGATGGATGTCGGTTGTCACTGACAGCAGTTCCAGCCTGCATAGTGGCAAGGACAAGGCGTAAACCCCTGAATTTAGGTGCAGTTTAAAAATGGCGCCTGAGACTCAAGAGGCTAATTAACCTCCCTAGCGGTCTGATTATGTCCATATTTCTGTGCTCAAAGCGGTACATTTTTCTGCATGGAAATATGTATTTTTTTTATTGTAGGCCTGTAATTTTAAGGAATAACTCACTGAAATCTGTCCGAACAAGAGTCTAGTAAACATCCCAGGTATCTTACAATTTGAAACATGAAATCATAAATTATAATTTAATAAATAATCATAAAAAATAATAATATAATAAATAATAAATTTAATTCAATAATGTAATCAAACCAAAAACCTGAAATTTGAAATATAGCGCCAAGTTCGCACATCACTGAGCAAAGTCGCAAAATCGTTTTCAGTGTCTGATTAGGAATTTCCCCACAAATTATCACTCAATTTTGCAAGTGGTTCTAATTCACTATCGCTGTTCTCTAGCTGGTTTAAAACCCGATTTTGACCTAAAGGGGCGCTTTTTGGACGCCATGGACATTTTTCAGTTTCCAGGCAGAAAGAACAGTAAAATGCAGGCAGGGCACAGGACAAAGCAGTAGGGACAAAATGTATGTGAAATGGTTTGATACAGTAATGTTATACTATGTGATTTTAGTGTATTTAGTGAATGTCACTTTTTGTCATTTTCAATTTTCCCGCCAGTTCCGTCCCCCGTACGTCCCGACGCTCACAGGGGACGGAATCCAGATGACAGATGCCGGCATCCGCCGGATTACATTGCAGGGGACACTGCAGGAGGGACATCGCGGGAGCACAGGACAAGGTAAGTGAAGAACAGATCGCGGAACAGCGCTGCAAGGTAAGCCCGAGTGTGGCTCGGGGTTACCGCTTGTGGTACTGAAACTTTACCCCGAGCTACACTCGGGAATACCGCCAGGGAGGCTACCAGCACTGCTAAATTGGTGTTGGCATGTAAGCGTTACAAGCTCGGGTTCAGATACACATTAATCCTTTTGTGGCCAAAGAACCAAAATGTAATATATCGTACCTGGTCGCTGCATGATTTTTATTTTTAGGATTTGCTCCTTTATTTTCACTTGGTGATCCTGCCATTAACACACTTGCTGTTGTAGGGTGACAATGATTTCTCACTTGATATCATCTTCCCATCTATATGAATTTACTCCAGAATTGGCTGCACATCATTGATCTAGGCCGCCTTCCTTATATCGCCAATGGTGAGCCATTCCTACATATTGTATGCTAGCAGGGCTGATTGCAGTCTCCCTGGGGCACATTTACAGGGTGTCACCCTAACCGTAGGGGCACAGTTGGGAAATAGTTATCTTAAAACAGGAAGTGCCAGAACATGGACCTTCATAACAGAATTATATGGTTTTATTTTACTGAAAGCTGCAGTTTTAAAAAGAATGAAAAAACTAATGTTTAAATGGCATTAACATGTAATAACTAATATACGTATTTTAGCAATTGGGTTTGTTTCTACTTTAAACAAAACTGTAATATACAAAAAATGAAAAAGTGAAAAAAAAACAACAAAAAAATATTAAAAGATACTGCAAATATATTTATATACAGAAAAAAATGGAAAACGAAAAAAAGAAAAACAAAAAGAATGCTAAACAAAATAAAATCTTGTTGAGATGGCCAGTCCTACCTCTGTCCACACACATGACAAGAATGGGGCCTGTGGTTAGTGTGAGTCATTTCATGTCGGCTTAGATCTTTCTTATTTTTGGAGGCAAAACTGCACTGATTGCAGCGGTGAGGCCGGAGGTCGGAGTGTACAGACATGTGATCCTAACAGTGAGAAAAGAATGTCAAACATAAACACACAATAATTGCCAGCTGAAAATACAAATAAAATGGGACAAGACAGAAAACTCCACATGAGGCTGCTGACTTTTCAGTGCAGCTGCTGTCGTAACGAGTCTGCAGGATATGAAGACAGGTCGCCTTACCCTGACCTCAGACCAGTCGTCTGCAGTGAAACCGCAGTCTGGGCATCTGAACCCGCTGCGCCCTTCAATGTGCGCTTTTTTGTGAGTCTCCATTTCTGCTCGGCCCCAGAAGGCAGAATTGCAAATTTTGCAAGAGAACTTCTTTGCTGGAGCTTGAGCCTGATTTTCAGTGACCTGGATGGGACAACACAACACATTACCAGAGAATAACAATAGAAAAGCTATGGGTGTGTTGAAGATGTGGCATGATGTTCTTACTTGTGGCTGTGGTGGCTTGTTCAGGATCTGGAGGGTATTCCTATCCTTTCCACTGTTGGTTAGTTGTGTTTGTGAAGATCTAGAAAGGGCATCATTATTGCTGAAATTACAAGCAGTAGTTAGATTGGAAAACTAGACTTGGTTTTTAGTTTTTCTCCACCTTGTAGAATACTTCTGACCATCATCTTACCTGCACAATGGTGCTTGAATGTTCTCTGCATTTACAAGGCTGTACTCTGCAGTGGTAAAGGCTGTATTAATAGTGATTTGCTGCACTGTTCCTTCATAGCCTGCCTCTGGCACACCAGACTCTTCATAACCTGCTTCATGCACATCCGTGACTTGTCTTTCATTCATGTGCAGCGTTAACACTTGAGCCATGTGAGGCTCCTGTGATGTGACCTCTGATTCCTGGCTGTCCATCGATTTAACCACTGCTACCTGCATAGTTGTGACCACAGTTAGTAAAAAATCTCCCTCTGATCTAAAGCAAATAGTAGCAACTGTGCACAAAATACAGTAATTCATAGCACCCGAACTTTATAGTGACTACCAGCAATATGTTCTTATATTCTGCATGCAGCTCTTCAACTTATTAAAGAAACCTTTAAAGTGAATGACACACAAAAAATATATTATTATATATATATATATATATATATACACACACACACATACACACATGACACACATACTTGATGACCAGCGACGTACCCGTACATTACTGGACTTTAGATGATTATACCGGGATGATGCCTGCAGCTACAGGCATCATCCGGGTACTGTCTTTTAAGAGCCACAGGCTGGCTCTCTTGTAATAGTAATCTAAGCAGCTAACCAGCCATTGGATTGTTATTACAAGCTGCTGCAGGCATTATCCCGGTATTGTCTTTAAAGAGCCGAAGGTTTGTTCTCTTGTAATAGAAATCCAGCGGCTGGTTAGCTGCTTGCATTGCTATTACAAGAGAGCCAACTGTTGGCTCTTAAAAGACAGTACCGGGATGATGCCTGCAGCTGCTTGTAATAGCAATCCAGCGGCTCGTTACCTACTTGGATTACTATTACAAGCAGCTGGAGGAGATCTGTGTCACGCCCCCTGCGTTTCCCCTGGCTGATCATGGAGCTGCACAAAGAGCGGAACCGCTCTATTTGGCTTCCGGTGATTGGAACACCTCTATACAATGCTTTGGAGGGGTGTCCCAATACTTTTGACAATATAGTATGTGTGTGTGTGTGTGTATTTATATATATATATATATATATATATATATATATATATACATACACTATATTTCTATACACTATATTTCTATAAACAGTTGTGAAAGAATGGGTCGCTCAGTGAAATCAAACATGGTACCGTGATAGGTTGCCACCTGTGCAATAATTCTATCCGTGACATTTCCTTGCTACTAAATATTCCCCGGTCAACTGTTAGTCGTATTATAACAAAGTGGAAGTAACTGGGAACAACAGCAGCTCAGCTACGAAGTGCTAGGCCACATAAAATGACAAAGCGGGGACAGCGCATGCTGAAATGCACAGTGCGCAGAAGTCTGCAGCTAAAGACCTACAAAATTTGTGTGGCCTTCAAATTAGCACAACAGTGCGTAGAGCTTCATGGAATGGGTTTCCATAGCCGAGCAGCTGCACCCAAGCCTTAATTCACCAAGTGCAATGCAAAGCGTCGGATGTAGTGGTGTAAAGCACGCCGCCACTGGACTCAAGAGCAGTGGAGATGTGTTTTCTGGAGTGACAAATCACGCCTCTCTGTCTGGCAATCTGTTGGACATGTCTGGGTTCGGCGGTTGCCAGTAGAACGGTACTTGCCTGGCTGCATTGTGCCAAGTGTACAGTTTGGTGGAGGGGGGATTATGGTGAGGGGTTGTGTTTCAGGGGTTGGGCTTGGCCCATTAGTTTCAGTGAAAGGAACTCTTAAGGCGTCAACATACCAAGACATTTTGTACAATTTCATTTGTGGAAACAGTTTGGGGATGGCCCCTTCCTGTTCCAACATGAATACGCACCAGTGCAAAAAGCTAGGTCCATAAAGACATTGATGAGCGAGTTTGGGGTGGCCTGCACAGAGTCTTGACCTCAACCCGACAGAACACCTGGGATGAATTAGAGCAGAGACTGCGAGCCAAGCCTTCTCGTCCGACATTAGTGCCTGACCTCACAAATTAACTTCTAGAAAAATGGTCAAACATTCCCAAAGACACACTCCTAAACCTTGTGGACAGCCTTCCCAGAAGAGTTGAAGCTGTTATAGCTGCAAAGGGTGAGTCAACTCAATATTGAACCAGGGCAGCACAGTGGCTTAACGGTTACTATTTCTGCTTGGCAGTACTAGGGTTGTTGGTTCAAATCCCAACCACGGCACCACCTGCCTGGAGTTTGCATGTTCTCCCTGTGCCTACGTGGGTTTCCTACGGGTACACAGGTTTCCTCCCACACTCCAAAAACATGCTGGTAGGTTAACTGGCTCCTATCTAAATTGGCCCTAGTATGTGTATGTATGAATGTAAGTTAGGGACCTTAGATTGTATGCCCATTGAGGGTTAGGGACTGATGTGAATGTACAATATATATATATATTTAAAGCGCTGCAAATTGATGGCGCTATATAAGTGCCTAAAATAAATAAATAAACCCTAACAGACTAATACTGGGATGCCATTAAAGTTCATGTCCGTGTATAGGCAGGCGTCCCAATACTTTTGGCAATATAGTGCGTGTATATATATATATATATATATATATATATATATATATATATATATATTAGTCCCACAGCTGATTAAATAAATATTTGCTGTCTTGCAGTGCTAGAAGGTTTAACAGAATCTTCAGTATCTGAAACTTCCAGGGGTGACAGATGGCTGTGCCCCCTGCTGCTTTTTGTGGTTTCCCCCACTATGTCACCTTTGTTTTCATAGAGAGCTGTAAGGATGTAGTGTCCAGTAAATGGAACCACATCACACAGTGGGGGAAGCAGCCAGAAGTAAGGAAAGAGCTGATTCTACTGTATCTAACCCTGCAAGAGGAAGGATTTGATTAATTAGTGGTAGGACTGGTAAAGTAGGCTTAATGTTCATATAAAGGGTGTTTTTTTACTTTTTTTTTTCAACAGAGTGGCTTTGCATGTTCTATAATTATTAGCTTAGTCATGCTGTGTGAAATCTCCAAACTAATCTGGTTACAGGACATATCCTTTCTGATAAACTATATTTAATTGTGGCCATGTTCAAAACTCAACATACTTGTAATGGTCCTCCGCTGCCATCCCTCTGGGCACTCATGTTCAAAAGAAGATCAAGGGCAGCCTGAGTTGCAAGTTCATCTGCTTCTCCATCTAAAAGAGAAATGTGTTCCTTTTTAATATTTACTTTTGTTGAGTCCTTGAAAAATTTAACAACCTGCAAATTTGGATTTTAATGAGCAAAAAAGTGAGGATATTGGCCATAGCAATTGGCTGTTAAGATTCATGGTCTCATCAGCAGTATAAAGAAAGACTCTGGCTTTACAATAGAAACATCTTTATTTAATTACATTTTGTTATTGTATTTTGTGTTTTATTCCCAGAACAGAAAAAGGACACAGCCTTCCACCATCATTTATGATGTAAAAAGTTAATATTTCTGTTTTCTATCTAAGCATGGCTGCTCATACTGCATTTCACAGCTGTACAGACTGTGCAATAACTATACACTAGTAATGCACATTACATTTTTTTTATATGTATATTACATTTAATACCAGTAAAACACATGCAACTCCCAGGTATAGGATAGAAGGTGGTAACATCCAGATGATTATTACCAAAGGGTTAGTAATTCAAATGCACACATCCTATCCAAAGTGACATCAGGTAACATCTGATACATCCAGACATTTTTCAAATTGTAGAACATTCAGTATGCTGATAATCATATTTTCCCAATCTAATAGTACCATTAACTGCACACATCCTTTGATGTACTATTTCCAAGTGAACCTGTGGTCAGGCATTCAAGCATTTACATATTCTTGACAAGCAAAGTAGGCTGTGGGGTAAATAAATCAATTGAGCTTTAAAATAACCCTTAGGCTGAGTTCACATTGATGCGGTGCAGAATTCACAGTGTTTTCTGTGCGAATTCCGCACCGCATCAGAATCGCACCCCGTTAATGCGAACCGCTGCGGGTGTGTATGTTAAGTTAACAACACCCCGAAATCGGTCCACAAAACACGGTGCGATGTGCAGAATCGGATCGCATAGATGTGAATACCCATGTAATCCGATTCTAGGGCGGACCAAAAAAAAGGGTCCTGCACCTTTTAATGCAGCTGCAGTATGATTTGAGCCATACAAAAATGTATGGCTCCAATCGCACTGCACACAAATCACATGTTATTTGCACAGGAAAGCGGTGCGGTTCTTGTGCGAATCACATGCGATACACCGCACCGCGTATGTGTGAATCCAGCCTTACTAACCTGTGGTGCTGCAGGCACTGTGCAGCAATTCATCCTCTAAGTTCACAGCAGAAGCAATAAAGTTGTTCAAGTCCTTCTTAGCAATTCAGCTTACACTACCCCAGCCTTATACCATAAGCAGTGACTTATGCAGGCCATAGATGGCTCAAAAATCGGCCGATTTTTCGGCCGAAAATAAAATCGGATGATTTTCGGATCGTTAGTGGGTTGATAGGTCGGTCGTTTTTCGGTTTTTGGCAGATTTTTTTTATCGGTAAAGTTGGAAAAAGATCGGCCGATATTGCTGATCGGCTGATTTTCGCGGCAATTATGGGCAAATCGGCCAATCTTTTTACTGATAAAAAATCTGCGCATGAGCAGTGACCTGCAAGAGGAAGACAAAAAGAAGAAAGAAGAAAAAGAGGATGAAGAAGAAGAGGATGAAGAAGAAGAAGAGATGATGAAGAAGAAGAGGATGAAGAAGAAGAAGAGGATGAAGAAGAAGAAGAGGATGAAGAAGAAGAAGAAGAGGAAGAAGAAGAAGAAGAGAAGAAGAAAAGAAGAAGAAGAGGAGGATGAAGAAGAAGACGAAGAGGATGAAGAAGAAGAGGATGATGAAAAAGAAGAAGAGGATGAAGAAGAAGAGGATGAAGAAGAAGAAGAGAGGATGAAGAAGAAGAAGAATTCCAGTCCGGCAAAAAGTGTCCCTGCAGAGAGCTCCGCTATTTCTTTGACAGTTCCTTGACATTTATAGCGGCTGCAACAATGTATCTGTTTCCGAATAAAAACATCTGTATCCTAAATGGATACAAATAGATACAATGTTGCAGCCGCTATAAATGTCAAAGAACTGTCAAAGAAATAGTGGAGCTCTCTGCAGAGACACTTTTTGCCGGCTGTAGACGGGATGAAAATCGGCCTATTTTTTTTTCACCGTTCCTGGTAACGTCGGCCGCTTGAACGACCGATTTTTTTTGTTTTTTTAAAGAAAAATCAGCCAGTTTTCTCCCCATCTATGGCCTGCATTAGTAACCTTCTGAACTCTAGTGCAAGCATAGAGAAAAGCAAGAGCTCCGAGTGGGGAGTGATGGATGAGCTGAGCTACTGAGAGAATGACTTCTGTGCTCCTGCTGCAAATTTGAGGATGAAATGCTCCATAGAGCCAGCAGCTACTGAATTCAGTAAAAGTGTGTTTTAAAGTTTGACCACAGATTCCCTTTAATTTGATTTGCTTTTGTTTTGCCTAAAATGAAACCTCAGATCCTGCAGTTTCCAAAACATCTTCACAATCTAGCCAGCCAGGTATCCCTGCAAACCATATCCTAGGATTCATCAGGACTGCAGCACCTTTCTCAACTCTACTATATTAGATCCATCCCAGGTCTCTGAACTATTCAAATAAAGTATCAAAACTATTTCAGAAAATTCAGAAATGAAAAAAAAAAAAAAAAAAATCACACACACAATAATCATCTCACCTTGCTCATATATGATAGTAGCACCTTCCAGTGTATTCTCTGCCTGCCCTTCCTCCTGAGATTGGGGGTGCAGCAGGTGATAAGTGAGCTCTTTGGGTTGACCCTAATATCAAAAAAATATATACATTAAATTGATTGATCAAAACTCAGATTTCTACCTGAAGTGACTTTGCAGTGACAGCTACTCAAAAGGATTACTGATTCAACTGGGTATCCCGACACATTTTGGTTTAACTTATTTGTGAATCATGGATCAGTTAATCCATCTTTAGGAAATAAAATTCAACATTCTTGGGGAGATTTACTAAAACTGGAGCACTCGGAATCTGGTGCAGGTATGCATCAACTTCTAACTTCAGCTTGTTCAATAAAACCTGAAAGCTGATTGGTTTCTATGCAGAAGTGCACCAGATTTTGCACTCTCCAGTTTTAGTAAATAACCCCCACAGTGTCACTGTGTTACATCCTGCTACTCACTTCTGCATGGCGCACTGAAGTGTTCTGGTCCTCTGGTTGGTCATACTGCTGCTGCTTCAGTTGTTCAATTTGCTGGTGAGAGAAAAAAGGTCGGCGGCGACAAGGTGCCTCCTCAGGGTGGCGCTGCAACCACTCCTGATACAGGTGCGTGTGACGACACTGGACATGAAGACGCAGGTTCTTCTTGTGCTTGGTGGTGAAGTGGCAGTATTCACAGCCAAAGGGTTTTCCAGCTAGGAAGATATAGATTCCATGAGCATAGAAGGAAACATTATGATAACATGCACACCAATGATTAATAAATAAAGTTAAGGTAATGTGTAAAACAATATCAATTAGAAATCATTTTTCACTAAAAGGCTGACTTTTGATAACTGTGGACAGTTGGCGCGAGTTCATACAAATCCCTGCTTTCTGCTCATGATGTTAAAGAAAGGTGTTAAAGTGAGAATGTGTTTCGCCCATGCCTGACAAAACTACAGGTTTGCTTTATGGTTTCATTGTGATTATTCCTTTTTGACCAGATTCAAAGTATTCCAATTGAATCAGAATCGAAAATCGAATGGCTTTGAATTCATTGTGAAGAATAGCTGGTTCTTTTCTATTCGAAATTTGAATTGCAGAAGATGGTTATATTCTTTCTATTTTGATTTTATTCTATTATAATCTATTATTTCATTTTTTATTCAATTATTGTATTCTCTATTCTGTTTTACTCTATTCTATTAAATTTTATACTATCCTATTCAAAATGTGAATTTTGGAAAACCGCTATATTCTTTCTATTGTGTTTTAATTTTCCATTCTATTCCTTTCTATTCTATTCTGTTTTACTCTATTCTTTTATTTCCTTTTCAATTTCATTCTATTTTTTTATTTTCTATTCTATTCTGTTTTACTCTATTCTATCATATTCTTTTCGAAATTTGAATTTTGTAAGATGGCTATATTCTATTAAAAATCTATTCCATTTTTTTTCTTTTCTATTCCTTTATTTTCTATTCTATTCTTTTATTTCCTTTTCAATTTCATTCTATTTTTTTATGTTCTATTCTATTCTGTTTTACTGTATTCTATTATATTCTTTTCAAAATTCGAATTTTGTAAGATGGCTATATTCTATTAAATTCTATTACAAATCTATTCCATTTTTTTCTTTTCTATTCCTATTTTCTATTCTATTCTTTTATCTTCTATTCTATTCTTTTATATTGTGTTCTATTCTTTTCGAAATCCGAATTTTCAGAAGATGGCTATATTCTAACACAACTACACATAGTCTTTTAAGGAAATCAACAATATTCAGCAATATGTTTATAATTCAAATTTGTTTTTAAATTCAATGTAATTTTCGAATTTGATTAGAGTTTCAGACTAAATTTAGTTTCGTTATTTCGGATTTGGTTAAATTTGTTAAATTTGTTACTATTGTCATTTGGAAATTCAGATACATTCGAATCTTTGAATAACAAAAATTTCCATTCGGAACGAAACTAACTGCACATGTCTAAGGGGTACCTATTACTCTTCTCAGCATGGGCTACTAAAAACATCCATGTTTCATTGTGATTATTCCTTTTTGACCAGATCCGAAGTATTCCAATTGAATCAGAATCGAAAATCGAATAGCTTTGAATTCATTGTAAAAAACAGCTGGTTCTTTTCTATTCGAAATTTGAATTGCAGAAGATGATTATATTCTTTCTATTTTAATTGTATTCTATTATAATCTATTATTTCATTTTCTATTCAATTATTGTATTCTCTATTCTGTTTTACTCTATTCTATTCAATTTTATACTATCCTATTCGAAATGGAATTTTGGAAGACCGCTATATTCTTTCTATTGTGTTTTATTATTTTCCATTCTATTTTATTCTATTCTGTTTTACTCTATTCTGTTTTTTCTATTCTTTTATTTCCTTTTCAATTTCATTCTATTTTTTTATTTTCTATTCTATTCTGTTTTACTCTATTCTATTATATTCTTTTCGAAATTCGAATTTTGCAAGATGGCTACTCATCCACTCTGAGCAGGGACTGGAAAAAGCTGGTATCAGGTCAAAAAACCAAAAAAATTTACATATATACATACACACACAAGACACACTATATTGCCGAAAGTATTGGGACGCCCCTCCAAATCATTGGAATTAGGTGTTCCAATGACCTCCATGGCCACAGGTGTATAAAATCAAGCACCTAGGCATGCAGACTGCTTCTACAATCATTTTGAAAGAATGGATCGCTCTCAGGAGCTCAGTGAATTCAAGTGTGGTACCGTGATAGGTTGCTCTCTATGCTCTGTTGTGCTAATCTGAAGGCTACATGAAGTTTGGAGGTCTTTAGCTATTGACTCTGCAGACAGTTGGCGACTTCTGCGCACTGTGTGCCTCAACATGTGCTGACCCCACTCCTTGCTTCCACTTTGTTATAATACCACTAACAGTTGAATATTTAGTAGCAAGGAAATGTCACGGATGGACTTATTGCACAGGTGGCAACCTATCACGTCACTACGCTTGAATTCACTGAGCTCCTGAGAGCGACCCATTCTTTCACAAATGTTTGTAGAAGCAGTCTGCATGCCTAGGTGCTTGATTGTATACACCTGTGGCCATGGAGGTGATTGAAACACCTAAATTGTGTGTGTGTAAAGTTTGCAGAATAAAAGACATTAATATAAAAGATTGTCTCAAGTCTACTGAGCACTATCAAGATGGGTAGTCTTGATATAAATGAAGAGTTGAGTACTGCACCTGCATGCTTGGTGGCCTGGTGAGACAGTAGGAAGTCCTGGCGGAATGTGTGATATTTGCACTGACTGCATTTGAATGGCTTGTCATTCATGTGAGTGAGCTGGTGATTCAGAAGCTCTTTTCTGTCTTCACACATATATTCACAGAATTCACATTTATACCTTAAAAGGAAAATCAATATCAGATTAATCTGCGACAGTAATGATCAACCTAGATGATTTACAATCTCACATGTAGCCCCCATTCCTCCAAATGCAAACTTATTGAACTTTAAATAAAGGAATAAAAAGATACAGTAGCTGTGTGTATGCAAGCTGTAATGCTCCAATACTGCCTGCAGTGGTATCTATTAAAGTAAAACTCCAGCCATATATTTTAAAATAATTTGGGCTACATTGGCTAGAGATTAGAACCTCTGTCAAGTTTTTATTGCTATCTGTGTCTCCATTGGGTAGATTTTTAATTTTGTCTCTTGCATCTCAGTCATGTCAATCTCCTGCGGTATGGACTCCAGCCATGACTACATGGTATTTTAAAAGATAGGCTTTCTGATGGTAAAAACAGTGAACTATCCCACATGGAAGAAAAAATATATTTGAAATATATTTTAAAAATATTCATCACAAATATATTGACATATTTTGGCCATATTCAATTATTTCAAAATATATTTCAATAAAATATATATATCAATAAATATATATATATACACTGTATATACTGCATGTTGAAATGCATTTTTAAAATACATTTCAAATATACTGTATGTCTTTAAACATACAAATCAAAATTTTTGGAATGCATTTACAATTATATGTAAAAATATATGTTAAAATTACTTTTTTATATGTTAAAAAAATCTGAAGAATATATTTAAAAAAAAAAAAATTTAAAATGTATTTTTACATTTTTTATTTTGTAATATATATATATATATATATATATATATATATATATATATATATATACATATATATACTGCATGTTGAAATGCGTTTTTGTCTGTGTGATAAGGTGACACCACAGCACCAAACTGGGAAACAAGGACAGAGCAGTCACCCTATAAATGGAACTGCCTCAATAAGGACCTCCATAGCAGGATCCCCAGATATCTCAATAAAAAGTACAGATTTAAAAAATATTGAACATGACTTTTAAAATTAAATTAATATGTCAAAAAGATTTCCGTCATTGGGATTATATATCCTTTAAGGTCTACTCTTTGTTGCTTAATTTAAGCTACAGCACCCTGCCGCTATATTGAATTAATGACATTTTTGAAGTAAATTGATAAGCAAAGGATATTGCTACTAGCTAAGTTTTAATGGCTTCTCTAATTGATTGGGTGCAAAATGCTTAAAAGCAAAAGCATTCTTTACTGTGCAGTCCTGCCTGATGGCGCACACCTTTTTTCCAAAAAACATACTGACCACCTCCTGCAGGACGACTGGGGAACAGCTCACCCCTAGGAATGACTACGGCTGTGTCCCACATATGCACTAGAAAGGAAGCCAGCAAGGTTGTTTTCGGGAGAAAGGCTGTGCAACGCTGATCAGGGACGCACAATAAAAGCTGCTGGAACATAGAAGAAGATTCTGCATTACGAAGAGTGGGGGATTTGTTGTGGTAAATAACTTTCTTTTCAAGAAAATTCAAGAACATTCCTGGATGTACAATAGATATTGTGAGCAGATAGAACAAAATGGGCATGCGCCATACAAATAACTCAGAGATATAATCCTGAAGCACTGTAAATGCAAGTGATATATCATAATTTATGGCCTCAGCCCAACCTGGGAAGGCAGGTGTTTTTTTTTTTTAAAGGTTCTCTAAAAGTGCCAAACCAAACAACCCACACTACAATGAAACTTCAAAATGCAATAAATAATAATAAAAATTATTTTTTGTTGCTGCTAAATCACTGTTATGTGTTCCCATATCCAAATAAACTATTACATCAAAATGTGCATCGCAACAGTTAAAGTAGGAATGCGATCACATAAATATAGATTTTCTCATGTATAAATAATATAAAAAAACTTTTAAAACCAGCAATAAGTGACGAAACGCATCAGTGGTGGGGTCATGTGACGTCATTATGCCCGGAACCGGAAGTAAGCCAACTTCATACCTATCTGAGGAACTGATGCTGATCCTTAAGGGGCCAATGTATTGCTAATAAAATGTCTTTACAATTATAAACCTCTTTAACCACTTGCCCTCCAGAAGATTTACCCCCCTTCCTGATCAGGCCATTTTTTGAGATGCGGTGCTGCGTTACTTTAACTGACAATTGCGCGGTCATGCAAAGCTGTACATGAATTAATTTTTTTTTCTCTTTTCCCACAAATAGAGCTTTCTTTTGGTGGTATTTGATCACCTCTATGTTTTTTATTTTTTTGTGCTATAAAGAAAAAAAGACTGACAATTTTGAAAAAAAAAACAAGAACAATATTTTTGACTTTTTGCTATAAAACATATCCAATAAAAAATAAAATTTTGTCATAAATTTAGGCCAAAATGTATTCTGCTACATGTCTTTGCTAAAACAAATTCTCAATAAGTGTATATTAATTGGTTTACGTGAAAGTTATAGCTTCTACAAATGGCTGTATATATACTGGATTGCGGGACTGCGGTGGGCATTCTGATATGGTGGTGGGAACTAACTGCCACTGACATATCCAGTGACACTAATACAGTGATCCAACAAATGACAATAAAAAAATCTTGCGTGCTTCCATGAATTACCAAACTTGCCCCTAATGAGCTTGAGTAAAAAATGAATAAATAATAAATATTACTGTGACTGTAGCAGCTATTGCACACTGCCCCTATCTCATAAAGGTGAACACAATGATATTTTGAAAACCAGTGCAGCGCTACAAATCATGAAACCAAAGTGTATAAAAATAAAATAAAATTAAGTGTTCAGAATACTTAGTGTGCATAAACAAAATATGCTCAAAAAATTAAAAGCCCAAACTTTTTGGTTTCATGATTTGTAGCACTAAACTAGTTTTCAAAATATCACTAATACAGTGATCAGTGCTAATCTGGGCGATCAAAGGGTTAACTGTGTGTTAGGGAGTTATTTTATTGTGTACTGTTTTACTAAGCAGACCTGCTGCTTTCTCTCTCTCTGCTGTGCAAAGAAATAGAAAGCAGCACGTCCATGCTGAGAGTAGAGAAATCTGTGTTGTTTACACACCGATCTCTCCCCTCTCAGCTTCGCTGACGATCACCGAATCGCCAGCCAGAACTGGGTGATTGACATTCTCAGGAGCCAATAGTAGCACGGGTAGGGCGGCACACGTACGCCCCCTACCTGGAAATGCAAAATCACATATATTTAAGTGAATTTGCCCAGTGAAACTGCCCTGTAGCAGTGCAGCTGCTATAGGGCAGCAGGCAAGTGGGAAAAAGCGACATTAACGCTTTGTTTTTTATTAATTAAAATAACAAACAATACTTACCAGGTCTGAGCAGCCCCCTACCTCTTCTTCTGGAGTCCCCCACCGGTGCTCCTGGCTTCTCCACTTTGACAGGCATCCCCATGGGGGCACTCGCGCAGGCCCAAGCCACCCTGTCTGCATCCATTGACATAGAGCCCAACCCCCCCCCCCCCCGCCCTTTTTAGCACAGCATTTGATTGACAGCAATCTGCCCAGGGAAGAGGAAGACAGCGGCGAGAGGCACTGCTTTTGTGTACATTGCTGGATCGGATTGGGCACAGGTAAGAATAAGGGAGGGCTGGGGGGATTTTGCAGCACAGAAGGTTTTTCACCGTAATGCATAGAATGCATTACGGTGAAGATTCTTAAAGCAATACCAAAGGTTAATTTTTTTTTTTGTACAATAACAAACATGTCTATACTTACCTGCTCTGTGTAGTGGTTTTGCACAGAGCAGCCTGGATCCTCCTTTTCTTGGTTCCCCCACAGGCTCTCCTGGCTCCTCCTTTCTATCGGGTGCCCCCATACAAAGCAGCTTTCTATGGGGGCACCCATTGCTCCGTGTGTCCATTCACACACGGAGCCGCAGATTTGCCCCAACCCCTCTCGCTCCTCATTGGCTGACTGGCTGTGATTTACAGCAGCGGGAGCCAATGGCTCCCACTTGCTGTCTCAGCCAATGAAAAGGTAGAGACCTGGGATAGCCCAGGCTGTCATGCACATCGCTGGATCTTGATGGAGCTCAGGTATGTATTGAGGGGGCTGGGGGCACTGCTGCATGAAGATAAAAAACCTTGAGCCTTTACAACTGATTTAAGTCTTCAGAACCATTTTAAAGCCTGAGAAAGGTTCCCACCTCTCTCAACTTTTTTTTTTTTTTTTTTCCAACTAACCAAAATAGGTTTTAGATACTAATTCCTCCTTAACCACCTCCCGTCCGGCCGTTGTATATAAACGGCCGGACGGTGGCACTGCAGGGTCGGGTGGCCGTCTATAAACGGCCTCCCTGCACCCTGCTTGTGCGCGCTCCCTGGGAGCGCGCAGCACCGCGATCCGGTGCCCGCTGTGTCCTCCGGACACAGTGAAACACCGATCCTCGGACGAGACCTCTGTACGAGGTCCCGATCATGTGATCACTGATTGGCCAATCTGTGATCACATACAAAGTAGTATGCAAGATGTCACTTCTGACATCATTGCTTACTACGTGTGAAATCTGTGAATGATCACAGAGGTCACATGGTACAAGGCTATTCACAAAAGCCTTGTACCATGTGACAAGCTGTGACCAATCACAGCTCACTCAGTACTTCTCAATGACTGCAAGAATGCACACAGAGAGAAAGAGAAATGATTGCTTTTACATCCTATATGGGTGTAAAAGCAATCAGTGTAAAAAAAAAAAAAAAAAAATCTTCATCACCCCCCACAAGTAGTACAGTGTCACCATGGTGACACTGTACTGCTAGGGTGACAGTATGTAAAAAAAAAAAAAATAAATAAAAAATAATAATATAAAAAAATAAAATAAAAATGTAAAAAAAAATGTTTAAAAATTATAATTTTTGCTTTATAAACTAATTTGGATTTTTTTTTTTTTACTAAAAAGATAACGGAATAAATTTTGGCTAAGATTTATGATGAAATATTATTTATTTGCAAAATTGTATAAAAAAAAACACTTTTTTTCAAAATTTTTGGACATT